GAGGATTTTTCCTTGATTCTTTGTTTCTTTTTCCCGGGAAAATTTTGGTTGAAGTTTGATAAATGTGGGGAGGTGCAGCTGAGCCAGCAGATTCTTACTACCAAGTTCGTCCCGAGTGCACCGATGTGCCCAAGACCAGATTCAAGATCAAGGTCTTTCTTCTTTTTTCTGTTTCTTTTCAGATTTGCTTTGCATCGTCTCTGTTAGATTATGTGATTGCAGATTCGATTCCTATTGCATACAGATTCTTTTTCCAATTATTGTTATCCGAACTACATTGTTGATTCTCTTGTTCGTGTTAGATTCTTCCCTGAATGATCGATTGCCTCACTGCCTTATAAACTAGCGATTGATTTCTCCTTAGATTCCAAGTTCTTGCCATCTTCAGGTTTTAGTGTTCATATATCTGTTTCTGACGAGGGATTGTTCATCTTAGAAGCTGTTTAGGTTCTCAGATCAATTCTTCATCAGTAGCATCACATGATTGTGTTTAGTGAAGGCAGATGCTTCATTGTCTCTTTTTCCCTGAATGATATTAAAAGCTTGAGACTGAGTTACCTTCTCGACTCTAGTAACTTCCATGTCTTGAGATAATACTTAAGAAATGTGTTTCTAATCGGTTGGCGCTAAGTTGGAACTCAGATTGAATAAGGAACCTTAACATTACAGGCCATAAAAGCCTGTATCATTCCATTTCTTGTGGTCATTATATATTAGGAGGTAACTGCATCATGTTGAGGCCAAATTTTTTGCGATGTTCGCTGACAGCACCGGATGTTTTGTGCAGCCTGGTAAAACTCTAAGTGTAAGAAAATGGCAGGCTGCATTTGTCCAAGAAGGGTCTCTCGATATTGGCAAGACTCTTAAACGAATCCGTAGAGGGGTATGTTAGTTTGGAAAAGTCATTGCAAAAGACTTGTGTATGGTTTGATTTGTTCTGAATCTGTGACATTCGTATTACTTTAATTCATTTGCAATTGATCTGTAGGGAATCCATCCATCAATTAGAGGTGAAGTCTGGGAATTCCTACTCGGCTGTTATGACCCAATGAGCACATTCGAAGAAAGAGAGCAAACCCGACAACGCAGAAGGTAGATTTTTGTCCTCATTTCCTCTATGTACGTATATGGCATTTGGCATAATTACATGGTTATCTCTATGCATTCACCATAATAAACCTTTAATTCAGTTTTGTCAATCCTTCCGCTACTTCTCTTCCTTTAGATTGCAGTATGCTTCATGGAAGGAGGAGTGTAAGAAAATGTTTCCTGTCATTGGAAGTGGAAAATTTATTACCGCGCCTGTCATTACGGAAAAAGGTCAACCCAACTATGATCCTCTTGTGCTTCAGGAAATAAATTTAGGTAAAGTCTTGCCTTTCCATAGAGAAATTTTCTAATATTGAACTCAACAAAAAGTTGTTATAGGCATTTGAAGTATTCATGTGGGTCTCTCAGGTACAAATTCAAATGGTTCAGATTTCTTTCAACAGCTCACAAGTCGTGGACCTCTCGATAAGAAAGTTATTCAGTGGCTGCTTTCACTTCACCAGATAGGTTAGTGACTGATCATGGCTTCCTCTGTTTCCGGCTAGAATAAACTGAATATTAGCCAGTTCACTTAGTTGCTTTATATATTTTTTTCAATTTTCAGGTCTGGATGTGAACCGTACAGACAGAACTTTGGTATTTTACGAGAAAAAAGAAAATTTGTCGAAGCTCTGGGATATTCTGTCTGTTTACGCCTGGATAGATAAAGAGGTTGGGTATTGCCAAGGTAAAACCAAATGGTATATATCATTGTATCCTTTGTTCGAAACTCAGTTTTACTTGACAAATTTTGACATATGTGCTCTAACTCTGATCAGGAATGAGTGATCTTTGTTCCCCAATGATTATTCTTCTTGAAGAGGAAGCTGATGCGTTTTGGTGTTTTGAGCGGCTTATGCGTCGACTGGTACTTACCTTACACATATTTTCAATGTATTGGTGGTTTGGTATGGGTTTTTTACATCTATTTCTCTGTCGGGTTGTATTAAACGTGTTTTTTTTTTCAAATTGAAAAGCGAGGAAATTTCCGCTGCACTGGGAGATCTGTTGGAGTTGAAGCTCAACTTACTCATTTGGCTTCAATCACTCAGATTATTGACCCCAAACTTCACCAACATATAGG